AAAAGTTTAAAAACTTTAAATCTAAACTTTTTACAAATATATTTTTCATTTACTTTTTCATATATTTAAAAATAATTTTTAAATTTTTTTAAAACAAAAATTTAAATTTATTACTCATAAAAACTTTAAATCTAAACTTTTTATAAATTTATTTTTCATTTATTTTTTCATATATTTAAAAATAATTTTTAAATTTTTTTAAAACAAAAATTTAAATTTATTACTCATAATAATACTAAAAAAGTAAAAATTCTCATAAATTATACAAAAAATGCATATTGGGAATACCCTTATTGATGGAAAACTTCCTCTCAGTCTCGGGGCAAAACAGGGCCCTCACTTTTCAATTATTTTTCATATCATTAAAAATAATTTTTAAATTTTTTTTCTAATAAATATTTAAATTTATTATTCATAAAAGTATTAAAAAGGCAAAAACCTCCTGCAAGTTATACCGAAGAAGCATATTGGGAATACCCTTATTGATGGGAAACTTCCTCTCAGTCTCGGGGCAAAACAGGGCGCCCTCCTCGATATGGAGCTCCAAGAGTGCGTGATGGAACTTTCCCAGAAACTCATGATCGGATTCCAGGACCGACGGTTCGGGGGCTTCCTCAGGAAGCTCGACGTAGCCTAGGATCCGCGACGCATCGACGAAAGCTTTCCACTTGATCTTGGGGAAAATGTTTCTCCGAAAGTCGTGATTAATCTCCACCTGCTTCTCCACCACTTTCTCAGCTTCGATATGGAGAGGAAAGCCATTGGTGACTCCCTTGATGTTGGACGATAGCATGTTGTGGGTTAGCAGCGTCATCCCTCTGCTTTTCTCCCCGGTCTCTTTCCGTCGGCTTCCCTTCACTGTTACGTATCAAATTGAATAGAAATAGATTTTTTGCTTGTTTACCGAAGGAGGAAGATGTCGCAACATTTTTTAGGCTAGAGTTGGTGCATATTCGATTCAGGCCGATTAATTTGACTTAAATTGATCCCATCTAATCAAAATTAATTTAAATGGATATAAAATTAGATTAATTTGAATTCTAAAATTTTAAAATTGATATAATTGATTTGATTTTTAATTTTACTTTTAAACAATTTGAATTATCCGATTAC